ACATGTATCCTAACATAATGAAAGTAATGCCTATTGTAATTCCTTGTGTAATAGCCAATTCTTCTACTTCAACGTCCATGGCAGAGATTGTTGACTCATTGCACTCATTCATTCACTGGGTAACAGCTTGTTTGGCTTTATCCATGACATTAATGATTTCTATGAGATGGGTCTCGTTCATGCCAACAATGACTTAATTATAAACCTAGGGGTAGAATATAGACAAAAAAAGGTGGGTGTATTCCAGATAGTTAAATCCTGATAGGCTGGGTCTGATTGGATGATAGTGATGTTTTTAGAAGTGGGAATAGGAGAAATCACTTGATTTCTCAAAAATGTAGGTTACCTTGGAGTAAAACAAATTTGAGTTTGTGCCAGGATACTCCAAGGGTCATATTAGGACCTTTTTATGGTTACTATGCAAAATTGGCTGTTTCTAGCATATTGGAAATTGGCTATTTTCCAGCATATTGGCTAATTCAACCTCTCCATTGGAGTCTTCTACTTGATCAGTCTCATCAGACATGATGATGATTTATTCAATAACTTTTCTCAGTGTAGTACACATGAAACAGTGCCCGTCTCAAACACATTACACCTGCAGACGTGCTAATGCCTTTAACCTATATTTTCAGCTTCCCAAATACTTGGGTTTTTCAATGGGCTGTTAGTCAGTACAAAGTTTATCTGTCCTAAGTTTATAGGCCTCAAGTTTTAGGCTCACTTGATGAAACTAATATATTATATAATACAGTCCTGTAGTTTTTTTGCATCACTGCTGAATCTAATGCAAAGGAGAATATAAAGCCAAGCAGTGAATATACCAGAGCTTGGCTACAGTAGCAGTGAGTATAAGAAAGACAAAGTACCCACTGATTACACCTCCCCCCCCCTTTGATAGGGTCCATTAACAATAACCCTATTCATAAGATGAGGACTTATACTATAAATATTGTTACTTTAATATAGCTATTATTGGTAGAATTCTACATTAAAATTATGGTGGTTTGCCCAATGAACTTTTGAATTTCAAGTTAGATTCTGCAAAACAATAGTATGCATTGCCTGACAAATTCCAAATCAAGTTTATCTATCTATCTGTCTGTCTGTCTGTCTATTTAGAGATTTAATGGTGGGAGACAAATAATCACCCACAAGGCATGTCAAGTTAGTCTGATGGTCAAGACCTTGAGTGTTCCTTCATGTCTATGGCTATTATTTCCCTGATACATATAGATGCAACACTCACACTCTTTACATTTACAAATATGTGAACTTATCCATATCATGTATAAGGACAAACACTTTTACATTTACAAATATATGAATTTAGGAGAATCCCTATGCCAACCTACATAAACAGATCATAGGTGGACCTTATACGTTAACTCATCACCATCTATCTAGGTGAAAGGTCCCAAAGACATGTGAGTCAACTTTGCTATCTGAGTGAAAGGCCCCCTAGAAATATATATGCGAACTTAGCCTTAGCTCAACATACAGGATATGGCCTGCAAGGGTATGTCTAGACTGCGGGACTATTTCAGGATACACCCGGTATCCCAAAATAGTGTTTTTCATGTCTTTACAGCATGCCCATTATTTTAAAATGCTGTCGAAATAACAGACATGCTATTTTAACGTCCTGGTAAATCTCATTCCACAAGGACTCGTTGGAATAGCAGTCTATTTCCAAATAAACTTGAAATAAGCTACACAAGTTGCATAGCACAAATTTTGTCACTTAGGCTGTGTCCAGACTCAGGGGTTTTTTCAACTTTGCTATCTGAGTGAAAGGCCCCCTAGAAATATATATGCGAACTTAGCCTTAGCTCAACATACAGGATATGGCCTGCAAGGGTATGTCTAGACTGCGGGACTATTTCAGGATACACCCGGTATCCCAAAATAGTGTTTTTCATGTCTTTACAGCATGCCCATTATTTTAAAATGCTGTCGAAATAACAGACATGCTATTTTAACGTCCTGGTAAATCTCATTCCACAAGGACTCGTTGGAATAGCAGTCTATTTCCAAATAAACTTGAAATAAGCTACACAAGTTGCATAGCTCAAATTTTGTCACTTATTTTGAGCTAGCGCCACAGTGTAAACACACCCAAAGTCCCTTACATTATAGCCAAATTACTTTAATACAAACCTATTATAATAAAAGACATTATAAAAAAAGGAAATAAGAAATCTAGCAGAAAAGATGTATATAGGCAAGCAGATGAGCCCAATAGGCTACCTACCCCCTTTGTCCAGGTGATTTATAAAATGAACCCAGTCACATCGGTATGGATGTAGATTGTCAGGTGTCTGTGACAACAGTTTCAATACTATTTTCCAGTCACCTACTTAAATGTTTTCTGGTGGTAACTTTCTGCACATAGCAGAAGCTGGGGCATGCACAAGGGAGAAAGCAGATGCATGTCCCTCCCCTGCAATAATTGGCAGGAGCTGACAGAGCTCCTTTGGCCCCCAGGTCCTCAGTGGAGTGCAAGAGCTCCTTTGGCTCTCATGGCCCCAGTAGGCAAAGCAAAATTGCTCTTCTAGTGCCCAGGAGGGAGAGCACAAGAAGTCCTCTGGCTCTGGAGTCCTGGCAGGGTCAGAAAGCTCCTTTAGTCCCATGGCCTCAGCAGGGAGATGCCCCTCCAAAAGGGGGCAAAGCAAATTCTTTGGAGGGAACTGAGGGACGATAAGATGGTGGCTATATGGACAAAGCAAACCAAATTGAACACATGTACAAATACAGTATCTTTGTGGGAATGTGGTGAGAAAATGTAGTATAAAATATGGAAAACTGGCAAACCTTATTTTTAATGCTTTCTCTCTCTCTCTCTCTCCATCAGAAATAAGTTCAGGCATTTTAAAATCAGTGGATGCCCCAGCTTTTCTCTTGGTGCCGTGGAGCTGGACATGCCCCATGGCAAGCGATGGCCCCACATGGTCATGCTGCAGTTTTTGAAACACTTTGTGCCACCTGCCTTCCTGGTCCTGACCACACCCTGAGCTCATTCTGGGGACCCTGTCCCTGGAAGTGGGAGCTACACTCTAGCAACTGCAACCCACTGTGGAGAGGCATTTCTGGAGGCTTGACACCAGTTTGGACTGGTGGGACCGTCTGGTAATGTAGCGGTGACACAACCAGAAGTGGTTCCAAAACTTCCGCATGCGGAAGGCCACCTTTTTGGAGCTGTGTGTCTGGTTTGCCCCTACCCTCCAGAGATGTGAACTTGCCATTGGGGACGTGCAGATGCCACTGTGTATCCTGGGGGACACAGCCTACCCCCTCATGCCATGGCTTATGAAAGCCTATACCGGCCACCTGGACCCCAGCAGGGACCTATTTAATGCCCATCTGAACCGTGGCCGAATTCAGATGTAGTGCACCTTCAGCCACCTCAAGGCATGGTTCAGTTGCCTGCTGACCCGTCTCGATGTGGGGGAGCACAACATCCCTGAGGTGCTTGCGGCATGTTGTGTCCTCCACATCTTTGTGGAGAGGAAGGGGGAGGCTTTTCCCCCAGGGTGGGGGGCAAACACCGGCTGTGAGAGGCGAGCCTTCCAGCAGCCGAGGACAGCTGCCATCCACCAGGCCCATCAGGCTGGGTTGCGCATCTGGAGGCCCTGAGGGAGAGGTTCTCTCAAGCACCCCAGTAACTCTCCCTAGGGCATTCCTAACAGGGGCCTCTGGCTTGCTTGCCTATCCCTTCCCCACCACAACCCCTCCCTTCACCCTTTCCCTTACCCCTCAGTAAACACACCTGTTTGGTTTCCAACAAAATGAAGTCTGTATTTATCTGACATTAAGAAAAGGTGGGCAGGTGGAAGGGGGATCATAATCTGGAGGGGGAGGGAGATCATAACCTGCAGGGGGAGGGGAAAACCATAACCTTCAGAGGTAAGGGGATGGCTACATGTGCCATCTTGGGTGCAAGGACCTCGTTGGAGTGGGGTTGGGTATGTCCGGGGACCACAGGGAGCTGGTCAGGAGACAGGGCTGGAGTGGGGTCAGGGATGGCAGGGGATCGGGGAAAGGGGCATGGGCATCACCTAGAGAGAAGGCATGGGCATCACCTAGGGAGGGAGCAGAGGCATTGTATGCGGGGGCAGACGGAAGGGGGAGTAGACATAACAGGGAGAGCAGGAGAGTGAAAGCCATGATCAGCGACAACAGGCAGGTGTGCCAGCATGTGCGACATCATGTCACACATGCTATCACTGCTGCATGAGCTGGTCCCATGTGTGGTTCTGCCACTCAGCGTTCTTGCATATCTTCTGCGCCAGGGTCTGCTGCATGTCACGCAGGATGCTGACATGCTGGCGTATGAGGTCTTCCTGGAACCTGGCGCACCTTCAGGTCCCCTGGACTCTGGCGGCTGACTCTGGTGGTGTGGCTCACCCCTCAGTTCTTTTGATTTACTTTCAGAAGAACGCGATTGCAGTGTGGACGTAAGTCAGGTTTTGTCGGAAAAATGGCTGTTTTTTCCGACAAAACTCTGTAGTGTAGACATACCCTAGAACTGGGGATCAGAGCCCAAAGCCCATAACGTGAACTGGGAGCTAGAACCCAGGGTCATAGTCTAAAGCTCTAGAATCAGGGGCAAGAGCCCGAAGCCCCAAGCTGGGGGATGAAGACCAAACCATCCTGGCCAGAGCTTGGGGTCAAAATAGTAACCTAGTTATGAAAATAGAAAGGAGATTAAATATCAAATGCTGCATGTTTGCTGTGTGTTTTAATGGCTCGCAGTTATGTCTGTTTCTGGAAAGTAGAAAGCCAGCACATACTAACACATCCTGAAGGCATTTATATAAAACCATCCCCTTATTGTTCATCACATTGAGCAGCAAATAGAAAGATGAGATTCTTCGGTGAACACAGAACAAAAGGCAGAAACATAATCTAATCTTTTTCTTCGTAAGCAGACACACCTCTCGCACCTTTTACTTGTGCTGGAATTAACTAGTTACTGTCAGCCAACCTTGTCAGGTGACTAAGAGTTTTTAAATACTCACGTAAAGGTCTTTAAATACCCACTCTTGAAGTGGATGGTGAGCAGACACGACAATATGGGGCATTCTTTTCGCCAGTTCAAGGCACTGTTCTGGAAGAATTGGCTCTGTCGGCTGAGACAACCGGTAAGTTTTTGCAAATGCGTAACACAGGGATTTTTTTCTTTTCTGTATTTCTGTGTAAGTGTGTGTGTCTGTCCTTTTGATTCTTCCTTTGCCTTAGAGAATAAGAAGGATCAGCTGGTTGCAAATGGTTCATGTTTTGCCTCTAAGCTCCTGATTATTTAAAACAGTAGAGCAGAACCTTCCACTTTATAACACTGAAACAGCTGAGAGATCAGCACTTCCCAGTGTGCAAATTATAAAGGAAAGTGCTCAAATGTTTTCAAGGAGTCATGGAGAATCCACATTGGATCACTGGGCACTGCTGGTGCTTATGAGGATGAAAATCACTCCTCTTTCAGTTTCAAAGTGTACATTGACAGAGAGAGAACACCATTATAACTGAGATCAGAATCTAACCTACAAAGGATTTAAAACAAGGTGTGGGGCAGAAGAATGCACATATTACCTGGAAATATTTTTCCTCCTTTTTCTCTCTCTAAGTTCTGATGCGGCTGATAAAACTAAAATGAGCAGAGAAAGCTGGCAGATACCCTACGAACCCACAGAAAATCAAAATAATGCTCAGTCGAAGAGAGGAAATGCTCTTATTTTCCCAACATGACTAATATATGATTGTCATTTTTCAAAGGGAGCAAAAGAAGTGGCTGATATTAGATTTTTGTATTAAAAAATCATGTCACTATAGTTAATGGTGTGTCATTGTTTGCCTTGTCAGTTCTGGTTTGGGGATTTGCAATGATGCATGTTGGTTGTTTTAAATAGGATCAGACTTATAACTAAGGGTACGTCTATATGTCTATACTTGAAATAAGCTACACAAATTGAGCTGTGTCAATTGTGTAGCTTATTTCAAAATAGGGCACTCTTCCTCTGATTTCCCTTACTCCTTGTACAATGAGGGTTACAGGGGTCAGAGTAAGAAGTCCTCCAGCTTGACAGTATTTTGACGTTATTTTGAAATAACTGCCTGCTGTGTAGACGCAGACTAAATTATTTCAAAATAACGCTAGATATTTCAAAATAATGTTGCTGTATAGACATTAGGTCAACATACTGGTTTTCATCTCAGAAAATTGTAATGTAAATATGACCAGGAATCTTTAATTTAGAAGGAGACAGTCTATTCTTTACTTTAAAGATCTTGGGATTTCAATTTTTTTTATGTGAACGAACTTTCAACCTTATTGATCATTTCTTTCTTCACTTGCTGTCTTCTCCAAATTTTGTGGCTGTGTTCTGGTTCTCTCTACTTTAACCACTGCCTCCTTTGGTAGCTTTTCATCCTACCAACTTCCCCTCCTTGTTGGTATCCTATGCTCTGCACTCTGCTTTGTCCCCTCCTCTCACTTCTTTAAGCTCTCACTTTCTATAGGTGATTTCATCCACCTCAGTGATTTCAGCTAGAATTTCTATGCAGATAACACTTATAACTACCTCTGTATGGCTGACTTCTTCCCCTCTCTTTAGTTTGTTCTCCAGATGCTATCTGGTAGCAATCTTCAATGGGCCAACTTCATTTTGGGTATAATTCCACTGAAGTTTCTGCCCTTATACTGGGGCTAGATTGTCAGATTGGTCCAGAACAGAATGTTTCACTTTTCTTTCCAAGTCCTCTCCTCGGTGGGATTTATCACGCATAGGGTCTCATCTCTCAAAATCACTCCCACATCAGATATTTAAATACCATACTTATGAGGGTGGTATAAAACATATATCATTAGATGTCATCTTCAACTTCTCCCTGTCCTTTTCCCTTACACCCTCTCACTAACTCTTGGTGAATCCTCCTCCATAGTTTTGCTATAATATTATTAATATCCATCCTTTCTACCGAGCTGCTCGGCCTTGTCTGTGATGTGATTTTTTGACTTATCATCATTGTGTCCCAGTGGCACAAAAATCATGATGTGAAACAACCCATCAGAAAGAGCAACACTTATATCTACCAAAACCTCGTGTAACATATGGTTGCATACAACAGTGAATTTTACACATATTTAAATACACACAGTTAGGTTTAACCAGGCTTAGAAGGTAAAGTAGATAGTTACCTACTTAGGTACCTTAGCTACCTCAGGGGAGAGTATAAGTTTATTAATGTTTGTAATTATTCTATTCCATCTAGATCCTCATACTGCACTCACTACCATAGTATCTGAGATCCTCAAATGAAAAACCTTAGGAAAGTGCAAAAAAGAAGCTAGCATTCCAATTAATATTGACTGTTAGAATAACAGGTCTTTTTAGAATGATCAATCGTTTCATGTTACTTTTTAAGTCTTCCGGTGCCTGTGGAGTTTCTGAGTTTATAGAAGGCAGTTGTAAAAATAAAACAAATATGTGTAAATATGTGTAAAATTCTCTGTTGTATGCAACCAAATGTTACACAAGGTTTTGGTAGATATAAGCATGGATTACCAGCTTTCATGATATGCTGTGAAATAATCAGACACTCAGACAAAACATGACCAACCCCGCTTCTTTGAGAGTTCAGTATAAATTAGATGCTAAAATACTATCCTTGTGTATAGAGGGGTCTACAATATTTCCTGTGCAAAAAAGAACTGGTGTGGGCAAAATTAATATCTTTAGACCCCCCCTCTTACCATGGTTTATAGTCAAAGAGAGGCACACATTGTTTGGGGGCCCGTAGAGCCCGTCAGCACCCCTGCGCTGGGGGATGGGAGAGACAGTTCCATTGCAGCAGCTATTACAGCTCAGTGGTGTCAGTAGAATGTGGTCCCATGGAACTCTCCTTATACATGGTTTTAGGCCAGTGGATTGACAAAGTCATGTATTTAGCACCCCTTGACCACCTGTCCCCTCACTCAAGTCCAGTGTTTAAAGGGTGGCAGGTTGGAAGGAGTCACAGACCCACAAATAACATTTCTACCACTCCAGCTGGGGCACTGAGGACTGGGGGCACGTAACAGCCCTGTCTGGGGAAAGCCCTCTCTGATCTGGAGCTATCTCCACTTCCGTGCTTCCTGGACAACCACTCAGAGCTGCTGTAGGACACAGTCAGATTCTTCACACCTATGCCTGCTCAGGAGCCAAAGCTGTTCTCATAGGAGCAGAAGTGGGAGGAGGGAACAGAATGAGCCCAACAGCTCAAGGCAGCTGTGTTCCTTCCCTCCCTCTGTTTCCTGAAATACCTGGTTGGGGAAATGGAGGTGAGCCTTCTATAGCTACTCCCACAGAGCTAGGGGAGGGAACCCCAGGAGCTGCAGAAAGAATTACCATGGATTACTGCTCTGCACTGTGTATGGGGTGGGGTTTTGCAACCCCTCCCCCCGCGTTGTCCTCTCTGCATTCTCTGTCCCCTACATTAAAGGTACTGCTATACTACAAGCCTACCACAGCACAACTGCAGCCCTGCAGCTATGACACTGTAGTGCTCTAGTGTAGACACTTGCCACAGGAATGGAAAGGATTCTTCTACTGCTGTAGTAAATCTATCTCCTTGCTGGGTTCATGGAAGAATTCTTCCATTGACCTCGGGATATCCACATAGCCGCTTAGGACGGTGCGATTTTAAACTCTTAGGTTGGGATGAGATTTCTTCTCACCACAGAGCAAAGTGTCAAAGTTGACACTTTAGAGATAAACCAGGCCTGTGACTGTGGCAATTTCTCTTTGTGTAGGACATTCCACACCCATAGATAGGAACAGAATTTGCTCCAAAATATGGAAATCATTGAATCCAATTGACTCTAGGCTTCCATGATTTTATAAAACAAGTGTCGGGGGGGATACCCCATTTTTCCAGTCACAAGCCGTGTTTGCTGAAGAATCTTGCGGTAGAATGCAGCTCAAAAATGGCTTTGTGCAGAGCTGTAGTTTAGCCTCAAGGACATAGGCTGGCTCTCCAGTCAGAAACTTTAACCATAATGAAAATCTAAAGATGGTCTCACCAAAACACACCACCTTAAAATTCTGCTTTGGAAAGGAGTTGCAAGTCTTTCTCAAAAACCCTGGGTGGAAATCCTGGGGCCTACTGAAGCCAATGGGAATTTTGTATTGATATCAAAAGGGCCAGGATTCTTCCTTCTTCTCCCTCTCTCTCCCCAAAAAAGCTCCCCTCTTTTTATATTTTACGTATTTCAGTGTCATCCAGCATTATGACAGGGCTTTAACTGCAAAGATTAATACATATTTGCAAATAATTGTTGCCAATATGAAAGACCCAGTAGAAGCCAAAATTGGTTAATGAAATGAAGTAAATGCGTTGTCTTGACATGACATGAGGTTCACTGGGTCAATGGAAAGACTCCTATTGACTTCATTGGGTTTTCGATCAGGTAATGTGTCACTCCTCAAAGGAATTGAGAGCTCTTCCAGGGCAAGTCTATACTAGGAAATTATTTCAAAATAACTACATTCAAAATAATAGCTCCCAAAATAACTATTTCAAAATAAGCTTGTTCCCCAGGAAAGCAGGAGTACAGATTTTGAACTAACCAGCCCAGTACAGATTTGAAATAACGGGCTTGGTAGTATGGATGCCTTGTTTATTATTTAGAAATAAGGGAGTTTATTTCAAAGTAACTCCCTAGTGTAGACCAGGGCCAAGAAACTTCAGCTGAGAAAGCCCTGTCACTTCTCAGCTATCCTAAATATGGGTAGCAATGGCATTTAGTACACATTTTCAACATGTGGTATCTACCATATATTTGAGAGAGCATGGGCATCTATGTTCCTGTCTGTTTGTTTGTTCAAGAATTCTTCCTAAATGGTCAGAGCTAGGACCACAAAATTCAGTGTGCAGCTTCCTCTTATCTTGACTTATGGCAGGGATGGGCAAATACTGGCTTGTGGGCTGGATCCGGTCTGCAAAGGTAAGTCCCCGGTGAGCCTCCATCTCTATACTTACCTGCGCCTCCACAGGCATCAGGTGATAGCACCTCTCATTGGCCACGGATCGCTGTTTGCAGCTAATGGGGGCAACGGGAAGTAGTGTCCCAGTCTGTACCACTTCCCGCTGCTCCTTTTGGCCATGA